ACCCCTGGCCCCCCTGCCAGCTTCTGCTTGTGGCTCCCCCAGGACGTGGGGACAAGCAGTGACAGAGACTCCTGACTGAAGAGGGGAAGAGGAGCTCTGATAGCCTCTGGATATGCAGCCCCCACCCTGGACCCCCACAGCCTTTGGGAGAACGAGGCAGCCACTGCACCAGGAACCTAGGCAGCAATTAATTCCTCTCCTCATTTGTGCCTGGCCAAACACAGAGTCCTCCCCAAGGAGACCACAGGACTTAAACCCCAGGAGAGCTCTGTGAGGTGCAAGTGGTGCTGAGGTATCCCTTGATTTTGCACCCCAGGGCTAGTGAGGGCTTACACAGGGTGATGTGGTGACCATAGCCATCTGTATTTCTGGTGGTTTGGGGGTTTTACTAATGGGGTTTTGTGCAGAGGCCTGGAAGCATAATGGGCAGGCAGGGGTGGTGATGCTGAGGGATTCCAGGGCTGTTCTGGTGGTCTCTGCACGGCAAACCCCCGCAGTGCCTACCTGTGAGCCAGGCAGCAGCCAGGGCTGAGCCAAGGGGGATGCTAATAAACAGCCTGAGGATCATCCCTCTCGCCTCTCTGTCACCCTGCTGCAGCTGAGGGGGGGTTGGTGGGATGTGTTTGTCTGTCCCCCTGCCCTGACTGAGCTCGTGTCGGCCCTACAGCACCAGGGAGGGAACCAGGCAGAGGGTGCCAGGGGCTGCAGTGCTGGGATAGGGCCTAGAATGGGTTTTTGCATTTGGGGAATGCTTGGAGCTGGGGGTGCATGGCCCAGTGGTGCATCCCCTTGCACCCATCCACTGGGCTGGGGAGAAACTGGGGACACTGGTGGCATTGCTGCTGAGCCATGGCCACCAGCAGAAACATCATCTCTGCCTTGGTGTGGCACCATGACCCTGGAGTAATCAGGGAGCTGAGGGCATTTCTGGCAGGTGACTCATCTGACCTACTTGGGAGCTGGTAAGGAAGGGAGTGCAGCATCCAGGGGAGATACTGGCACAGTGCTGGAGGGAGGTGGGTCTGCATTTGGCTGGTCAAATCCTGCCCCTCGTTTGCAGCTCTGCTCCAGCCCCAGGCATCCCAGCTTGTGCCAGAGAGACCTTCCTCCCACCGGGGTGTGTGGGCACAGCAGAGATGGGCTGAGTGCCAGGGGCACTAGTGGGAGCTCTCTCACTCACCGTGCTGCCTCAGTTTCCCTGCAGCACAGATGCAACCAGATCGGCTGGGCTCACAGGGGAAGGCACGGTGCTCCCTGCAAGCTTTTTCCAAACCCCTCCCTCTGCCCCGACCCCTCCAGGCAGGTCTGGGCTGCCCGTGCCCAGCCCCGCTGCTGCCTGCACTGCCGGCTCTCCAGGCTGCTCCGTGCAGCAGCCGGGCAGGGTGAGCTGTCGGCAGCAGTCAGCCCCGGGAGAACCAAATCGACCTTGACATATCTCCCAGCTCCTGCTCGGCGGTGCCCTGCGGGTGTCCCTAGGGCAGAGCACCGCTCGCTTCTCAGGGCTGGCAGGTCGGAGCGGGGCAGAGGGCAGGAGCTGCACCCCCAGACCCTGCTGTGCAGACAGGGTGGTACCAGAGCTGAGTGTCCCCACCTTTCCCTTGCCGCGGGGACAGGGACAGCCCCCTCCTGCCGTGCCGGGGGCCAGACGGGATTCGGCGCATCCTCAGAGTCCCGGGTGCTCCAGGCCCTGCCGTGTCCCGCGCCGTGCCAGGCTGGGAAGCCCCGGCCAC